ATGTGTGCATCAAACCACTCTCACATGGGGAGTCTCGCAGGGACTTGAAGTCTCCTGCGTCTGCGCACGGGGAGAGCGGCTTGTATGCGTTCCTGAAAAAGAAAGATTATAAATTATAAAATATGTATGGTCTATTTGCAAACTTTCTCGAGAGGCTCTGTGATGTCACCGATGATGTCATCACATTCCGCATGACATCATGGCTGATGACGTCAGCCATGATGTCATCAGCCATGATGTCATGCGGAATGTGATGACATCATCGGTGACATCATCAGCCATGATGTCATGCGGAATGTGATGACATCATCGGTGACATCACAGAGCCTCTCGAGAAAGTTTGCAAATAGACCATACATATTTTATAATTTATAATCTTTCTTTTTCAGGAACGCATACAAGCCGCTCTCCCCGTGCGCAGACGCAGGAGACTTCAAGTCCCTGCGAGACTCCCCATGTGAGAGTGGTTTGATGCACACATGTAGTACAAGCTTTAAAAAAGGTTTTCCTTTTTAAAAGCTTGTGCTACATTTTTAATGGTCCTTATGACTATTGCAAACTTTTTTAAATAAATAATAATAATAATGATGTCATCACATTCCGCATGACATCATGGCTGATGACGTCAGCCATGATGTCATCAGCCATGATGTCATGCGGAATGTGATGACATCATCGGTGACATCATCAGCCATGATGTCATGCGGAATGTGATGACATCATCGGTGACATCACAGAGCCTCTCGAGAAAGTTTGCAAATAGACCCCCCGTTAGCGACGCAGACGCTAAGCAACGACAGGAAACATGTAGTACAAGCTTTTAAAAAGGTACATTTTTAATGGTCCTTATGACTATTGCAAACTTTCAGGTTGAGGCTTGATGGCAGGGGTCTGCAACCCTTTTGACCAAAGGTGCCACAACCCTTTTCCACAATTTATTTTGAAGAAAAAAAATATATATATATATATATATTTATTTAAAAAAGTTTGCAATAGTCATAAGGACCATTAAAAATGTAGCACAAGCTTTTAAAAAGGAAAACCTTTTTTAAAGCTTGTACTACATGTGTGCATCAAACCACTCTCACATGGGGAGTCTCGCAGGGACTTGAAGTCTCCTGCGTCTGCGCACGGGGAGAGCGGCTTGTATGCGTTCCTGAAAAAGAAAGATTATAAATTATAAAATATGTATGGTCTATTTGCAAACTTTCTCGAGAGGCTCTGTGATGTCACCGATGATGTCATCACATTCCGCATGACATCATGGCTGATGACGTCAGCCATGATGTCATCAGCCATGATGTCATGCGGAATGTGATGACATCATCGGTGACATCATCAGCCATGATGTCATGCGGAATGTGATGACATCATCGGTGACATCACAGAGCCTCTCGAGAAAGTTTGCAAATAGACCATACATATTTTATAATTTATAATCTTTCTTTTTCAGGAACGCATACAAGCCGCTCTCCCCGTGCGCAGACGCAGGAGACTTCAAGTCCCTGCGAGACTCCCCATGTGAGAGTGGTTTGATGCACACATGTAGTACAAGCTTTAAAAAAGGTTTTCCTTTTTAAAAGCTTGTGCTACATTTTTAATGGTCCTTATGACTATTGCAAACTTTTTTAAATAAATAATAATAATAATGATGTCATCACATTCCGCATGACATCATGGCTGACGACATCAGCCATGATGTCATCAGCCATGATGTCATGCGGAATGTGATGACATCATCGGTGACATCATCAGCCATGATGTCATGCGGAATGTGATGACATCATCGGTGACATCACAGAGCCTCTCGAGAAAGTTTGCAAATAGACCCCCCGTTAGCGACGCAGACGCTAAGCAACGACAGGAAGCATGTAGTACAAGCTTTTAAAAAGGTACATTTTTAATGGTCCTTATGACTATTGCAAACTTTCAGGTTGAGGCTTGATGGCAGGGGTCTGCAACCCTTTTGACCAAAGGTGCCACAACCCTTTTCCACAATTTATTTTGAAGAAAAAAAATATATATATATATATATATTTATTTAAAAAAGTTTGCAATAGTCATAAGGACCATTAAAAATGTAGCACAAGCTTTTAAAAAGGAAAACCTTTTTTAAAGCTTGTACTACATGTGTGCATCAAACCACTCTCACATGGGGAGTCTCGCAGGGACTTGAAGTCTCCTGCGTCTGCGCACGGGGAGAGCGGCTTGTATGCGTTCCTGAAAAAGAAAGATTATAAATTATAAAATATGTATGGTCTATTTGCAAACTTTCTCGAGAGGCTCTGTGATGTCACCGATGATGTCATCACATTCCGCATGACATCATGGCTGATGACGTCAGCCATGATGTCATGCGGAATGTGATGACATCATCGGTGACATCATCAGCCATGATGTCATGCGGAATGTGATGACATCATCGGTGACATCACAGAGCCTCTCGAGAAAGTTTGCAAATAGACCCCCGTTAGCGACGCAGACGCCAAGCAACGACAGGAAACATGTAGTACAAGCTTTTAAAAAGGTTTTCCTTTTTAGGGTTAGGGTTAGGGTTAGGGTTAGGGTTAGGGTTAGGGTTACATTTTTAATGGTCCTTATGACTATTGCAAACTTTCAGGTTCAGGCTTCATGGCAGGGGTCTGCAACCCTTTTAAACTCTAAACTCTTTCAGGAACGGGGGGTCTATTTGCAAACTTTCTTGAGAGGCAATGTAGAATATACATTAAATGTATGTAAGACTATGATTATTAAGATAAAAGATGGGTTCAGAAAGTGTTCTTTTGACTGAAGGTAGGGTAGCCGATTTATTTTGTGGAAATGTAGGGTCTTTCTTTTTTATCCTCATACTAAATTAATATTTTATTACGACTTTCTTTTAAGATAACTTTGATTCATAAAGGTGCACATTGTTGTATGCAGAGGGAATCAGTAGTGTCTGAACTGTTTTCACAGTCTTCCATCTGCACAGACCTTGCCTGAATAAGAAAAGTATGAAGTTAAAACAACAAATAAAGAAAATAAAGCAATGTCACTAAGACAAAAACATTCATTTGTCAAAAAAGAAGAATTCATTATTATGTATGATTGTTAAAAAATAAAAAACAATGAAGACATCCTGCAGTTTTGCACTATTCGGGATAATAACACGGTTTATCAGTTGATTATTGAATATAAAATGAAATATCTTTAATTATGTCACTTAGTCAGTCGTCGTCAGTTTAATGAAAGACAGGAAAGGCGTCCCCTAAAGAAAAGGTTTGGAACCCCTGTATCAGAGGAAGTCAGAAATATATTACATTGAATCCTCAGAGGTTAAAAGATGACGCGAACTGATGGTAAAGTCCGGCTCCTTTGAAATGCTCTGGCTGTGATGTAGACTTTTGATCATAGAAAGCAACTGCCAATACTGAGCTGTACACAGCTGTAAGAAATACTGGCTGGGTTGCACAAACTCTTCTAATATGTTCTCCTAATTGTTTAGGTTATTCCTCTCATGTTATATATATTATGGCCACAACCCCTTCCTCATTGGAATGTATCTTTGTATAGAAATACAAAAAGACAAAAAACGTACATTAAATGGCAAATGCGTGACCCCGGTGGCTTTATTGTAAAGATTGATGTACTTGCCACTAAAAGTAACCCAACAATTGATCAACCCATTACTCTTTAACCCAGTGACTGAAGCTCAAATGGAAATTGGAAGAATAAAGTTGTGGATAATAATCAGACATAATGGTCCTAAAGTCCAGCAAAGAACAGTGTCATCCCATACAGTTTGGAAACCTGTGAAAATGTGTATCAAATGTCTCATGGTGGATCCAACTGTATAGTTCCCAGTCATGCAAGGAATGATACTCAAATATCTGAAATGGATTCGCCCTCTGGGATTCCTCAATGTGCCCAGCAGATTTTATAACAGTCTAGCTGTTATGGCTGTATTTTGCAAATGCAAGTTAGAATTATTTAGTGGCTGCAGACCACTGCACAGATTTAATCATAGTCAACGCTCAGGTGTAAGTGTCAGGCGAGGGTTAACATATAGTAGCCAATCTCAGTCTAATTAATGACTAAGTAGCAAAATGTATATTAAAAAATGTCCATTGTTCTACTTTCTTACATTAATAAAATGTGTCATTATCCAATCATTTCAATGAAACATAATGAAAAGATTAAGGAAGTACAATATGTGCATAATAATTCAGATAGCTACCGTAACTTGGAAGTTTAAAAGCTATTTTAGATTTATTAAAGCACCACAAAGCTACCGTTAAGTAAAACACACAGGGTGTAACGTGCCGTGGTGTGTTTGTGTGTGTTTCTACCCATGATTCTCTCCCTCTACCCATGATGCTCTCCCTCCAGGTGCTGCCTCTCCCTCAGGTGTTCTCAATCCCCAGTCAGGGCCTGCCTAAAGGCCTGAGGAAGGCTGGAGCACTCTCACTTCGTTCTCCTCTGAGCTGCGTGTGGGACCAGTGCAGCCTGTGGGACGTGTTTAATAGTTGGTGCTAGTTTTTGGAGATGTGCTCCAGTGTATCTTTTTGCATTGTTTACGTTTATCACATTGTCTTTTGGTTACGTAGATCAGTTTCCTCTATCTTTTTTTCTCCTGGTTATTTTATATGTTGTCACTTCCCTTTTACCCTAGACTATTAGGGAACGTAACAAAGGGAACAACAGGAGGAAGCAGAAGGAAAGAGACATGGGGGGTGGTGCAGGGCTTCAGGAGTGTCTCATGTGATTCTGTGTCCCAGCACCATCTCTGAGAAGGGAGAGAGAGAGGACGAGAGAGCGGGAGAGAGAGAAAGAGAGAGAGAGAGGGAGGAAAGTAGGCTGTAAAGAATAAGGGGTCAGTCCAGGGATTGTCCTCGCAAGGAGAGGAACTACTTCTGCATGTGTGTGAGGGTGATGAGTGTGCATGTTGTGTTTGCCTTCTCTGATGTTTGAGGTCGTTTGCTTCCCCCTGTACACAGAGGACATATTAATATTTCACCGCCATGAGTCGGACCACCTTTTTTGAGGTAAGCATAAATGTATGTAATTAAGGTACGTGCCAGAAATGTTGATTAACTGAAACTTGTCATGTCCACTTTGACAGAACATTTTAAATTGGTTTATTTGACAAGGCCTCAAGAGACTCACTTTAAGAAGTATGTTGCAGTGGTCAAGCAGAACTGGAGAGATCATTAATAATGTTGCAAAGTTTAAAGAGTCAGCAGAGTTTATAAAGTCAGAGTTTTTGTGTCAATGTAAACTGAGGTGGATTTTCCTTTTGTATTCAGTGTCCTGTCTCAAGTTCATCAGCTTTTTCTAAGTAGAGAAATGAATGCTAAGAGACGGATATAGACACCGTGAAGGGACAAACTGGATAACCTTTGATGTTGAATGTCTGAAAAAATACCACTTTGAATATAAAGAGTAAATGTTCATTTGAAAACCACTTTACCCCTCACCTAGACAAATCCCTCTCAATCACGCATGCACATGTTCTGTATGACCTGTGCTGTCAGCAGAGCCTTCGGTTCCCATGAGAGGACAGGGGCGTCTGATAATCTGATTTACAAGGACACAGCACAACTGAGTGCACACGGTTCTACAACACACCACCCTAATGACATCCTTAGTCTCTCTGTGAAAACGCAGGTGCATCAACATGTGCTCCTAGAATGCATTTGGGAAAGGTATAACAGATGGAAAGCAAAACAAACCCGTCTCCCAGGGTGCCCTTTACTGAAACATCAGCATGGCTTGTGCTCACACCCTGCAAAGCATGAACACACTGCAAAGGTTTAGATAAAATGCTCATACTTTAAATCTTAGAGTCTATTGCAGGGTATTTTTGTGAGAATCTCACTGTATAAAAACTTAGGTGAGTGTCATTTCTATTTAAAGAGTGCAAGTCAATTTCTTGTTTGAAGATGTGCTTGATCAAATGAAGGGGAGGTTGCTACTGATACAAATCAAGAAAGAATCAATGGCTAGGTTATTGTAAATTAGCATGGGCACAAGATTAAAAGACTTGCGAACATGTGTTTTTTTTGCAATGCACAGAGCAGATTGTATAAAGCTCTCTCTTTACCTCATCTGTGCACTCAGCAGATCTTGAGGTATCCATTAGTGGGTTGTTACACTGTCCAGTAAGGGAACCAATTTAGCTAGGACAGCTCTGCTGAGCAGCACAGTATGGAGTGCTTTCAGAGCAAATTGTGGGATGCCACCCACCATCCTCCTAGCAAATGCTGTACATCACCACTGACATGGTTTAATTAAGAGGAAAAAGATGTGAGCAAGAGAGCAGCAGGACAACACATCCTTGTTCCCCCTATCAGACTCCACCGGCCTTATTATTCAGATTGAGATTTTGTACTTGATCAGGAAAACTGGACACTTGGCAGTATAGGTCCCCTGATGAGAAGCAATATTGTAGTATTTTCATAGATATTTCTATGGTTGACTCAATCATACAAAGGTATTTATCATAAGGAATAACAAAGATGTATGTATATGTAGACAATTCGATCAAATCATGTATGCTGCAAAGTACAAAGCTGATATTTATTGCAGTATATGTGTCAATAACATGAATATTTTAAAGAGGCTGATCCTAGATCCTTTGTATAAGAAAAAAAGTTCTACGTGGCTTATGAGAAAAACGTAACTACATAAATCAGCAGAAGGTGTTTGAAAACAATCTTTTATGGAGATACTTATTGAGTTGACTTTTAGGGTTACATCTCGTTGCAGTAAATACATCTAAGAAAAGAATGGAAATCTGTCAACAATTTGTGTGAAACTTACTACCTTGTTGTTAAGCAATTTAAAGTTGGTACATCTTGTGTTTCTCTTAGGTGAGGGTCCTGAATGGCAAGACCAAAGAGCATCTTTGTTTTTTAGATAAGGTATGAAAACATATTGGCATGTATACGCTTTTTCTCTTTTTTCCCCCATCATGTAGATGTACTGTAAAGTAGGATAAACAACTCTTTATTAAAACTACTTACACTCTGTTAAATATTCCATTTATATTCTATTTTTGTTTATTGGGCATACATTTGACACTTTGCGCACAATTCAGCCTGTGATCATGTCTGTGTTATCTTCTCTTGGGATGAAACTTTAAATAAGCTCATTGGCGTGATAAAAGATCCGGCTGCACATCAAGCATACTTTGTGTTTTTATTCCATTCAGGTTGAGCCTTATTCAACAATAGGAGACATTAAGAGCCTCTTCCACAAATCATGTAAGTGTTCATATGCCGTTTTTGGTTTTATACTATAATTTGTTTGTGTTATTTACTGGCTTTTATGTTTTAGCTGAGTCCTGGACAGGGAAATTCCAATTGTTTGTGTAGAGTATAGTGCAATTTCATTAACAGTAAGATTTGTAAAGATGCTTGTTATCCAAGAATTTAATTTCAATTGATTTTGTATTATTGCATTATTTGTGTATTTTATTGCACAAAACTGTTAACTACTAGTTGAATTCAATCGATTAGCTTGCCGAGCTATTGATTGACATATTTACAGTGCATAATGTCCAACCACTTCGCCAAACAGATGTTTTGTTAAAAAGCTATTCCTTCTTTACTCCTCTAAAGCCCACGTTGGTAACATTTTTTATCCTCACTGTGCGTCTGGTCAAAAACGCAAACAAAATCTATCAGAGCAGTGACTCCATTGTGATCCGTTATTGTTGGGCTTGAGGCCAAAAATCTGTGAGTGCAATGCCAGTTATGTTCAATCCTGTGTATCTGTGTATGTGAGTGTGTGTGTGTTTGATCCTCTCAGATCCTCACTGGTATCCAGCAAGACAAGCCCTGAGCCTTGACCCCAGTAAGTAGCCATATTGTGTCCTTTTCATTTTTCATTCTTAATATTACAATGGGTGATAGCTATTTACTGTTTTAATGCTGTTCACAATCTGAACTTCATCAACCACAATAATTAAAAGTATGTTATCTTTAACATGAAAAGATTATATATTATGTCGAACGATATGGAAAAAAGTCATCGTATAGTATGTCTGAAATATGATGAAAACATAAAAAGTGAAAAGAATACTTGTTATATTATATCGAAAACATTGAGAAAATATATATACTATATATATAATGTGTCAGTTAATGTGTAAAAGTCGTAGTACTGTGTCGGAAAACAAATATTAAAAAAGTACAGTTTGTCAAAATATAATTAATTAATTAAAATATGAAAAAAGTTATAGTTTGTCGAAGAAAAAAAAAAAGCGACATGTCGAAAATATATTTAAAAAACAACATGGTATAGTCTGTAGAAAATACGCAAAAAAATGGCACATGTCAAACATTTTTGAAAAATAGAAAAAGCATTCTATTTTAATGCAAATCATTTTAATGCAATAATAACGACATACTATACCACGCCTGGTTCTACACACTATACCGTGCCTTATTTCGACATAAAATAACATGTTTATTTTTTGTCATTTTTATCAACATACTATACTACGCCTTATTACGACATACTATACCATTCCTTATTTCAACATAAAATACTATGCTTTGTTTTTTTTATTTTTTGACATAATATATTGTGTCGTTTTTGCCATTTTTATTGACATACTATACGACGCCTTATTTCGACCATGCCTTATTTCAATTTTTGTTTTATTATAACATTGACAAATTAACTTTGCTTTGCATATGGAGGTGAATGAAAGCCTCAAAAAGCACCCCTCATCTTTACCGTCACAGTCATGTTTCCTATCATCAAACCTACATTTTAAAAAGGACCTACCGTGAGTTGTGATGTTGTAGAGCTTTAATTAAATGAGGGCTATCTTGTTACTAAAAAGAACAGGGTGGAGACGTTGGTTTGAAAGCAATCTGGGCCAGTTCCCCCTAATGGTATTCTAAAAATGTCATCCAATTAGAGCAACATATTATCTGTGGCCATGCCCCCTGTGAGCTTCCAGGTAGAGGGAATGTGTGCTGAAAATCTGAACCGACACTCTGATACCTCAGTTTAAGCCACACAACTTCTTAAATGTACCTAGTAATAATTTATTTCAATGTGATTGTTATTGATAATTCTGTCAATATGGTAATTCCAGATAAAGATGTTTTCAGATAAAGTTGAATTTGTGAAATATAAAAAATGTTTTGTTCTTCTTCCTTTTGTTCTTATAGAGGACAAATCACTCAGAGACGAAGACATTTTACAGAATCTACCAGTCGGGACTACTGCTACCATGTACTTCAGAGATCTTGGTCCTCAGATAGGTTGGACTATGGTAAGAAGAGCACACTCATATATTACTGAAAGTTGAAATATGTCAGTGTCTGGCCTTTCAAGTTCAAATCGATAATTAAGGCCGACAAAGATATAATTCATTTCATTCAACTTCATGTATACAGCACATTTCACACAGGATAACATGCAACAAACATTTATTCAAATGAAAATGACAGAATAACAATAAAACGTGCAGGATATACAAGTTCCAAATCATATAACTCACACTTACTCACGCAAGTTCAATTTTTTTTTGCATATTACCTTTATTAATACTTGTTTTGTTTCCAGGTGTTTCTGGCAGAGTGCATCGGGCCCCTTCTCACCTACCTCCTCTTCTATTTTCGTGTGCCGTACATTTACTCTCACAGATATGCCTTAACCTCTAGTCCTCATCAGGTTGTCAGGTAGGTTGTGGGTTTAAAAAAAGGAATTCAAGTTTGGAAACAATGCATTTTTCATTCATGTCAGGGAATAATTTCCCCTGCATGTCATCTTTCGCCCTCTGACTCAGATGCCCAGCCTTGGGCAGCCGCTATCTCCCTTAAGGAGGGGCTGCCCTAGCATATTGTTGATGTACCAGTTTATGACCGGGCAACTCTCGGTCAGAGATAGTTATTGTTATGGGACACCTGGAACACATCCTTCTCGGGGTGTAGATGACCCCGAGCCATAAGCGACAACAAATGTGATTCAGTGTCCTCAGCTGTTTAGTCTATCCATTGAAGAATGTTGATTATTGCACTCTGAACTAGTAAAAACGTCGAACTACAGAAGGGTTCTTCAGAATTGATTTGGCATCTCAACTGTGTGGTCAGATCGTGGCCCGTGACATGTCTTGTGAATTCTCTGGCCGAAGCTCCAAATAAACCGTCAGTGTTTGCCATCAAAGCTCCAGCTCTCCTCGTGTCTCTCTGAGTCCTGTTTCTAATTGCTTCAGAAGTTTCCCCCACAATTCATACAATTCCTTGTCATGCGGTGGTGTTTCATCCAATGATGTATGTTTGGCACTTAGGGCAATTATAATCTCAAATGATACTGGTACTTCTGACATCCTCCCACCTCTCTCTCCCCCAGACTAGCCTGTGCCTGTCACACCTGCCACTATATGAAGAAGTTGATAGAGACTATCTTTGTGCATCGTTTCTCCCATGGGACCATGCCTCTCAGGACGATAGTCAGGGTGAGGACATGACCACCCATGAAAAGATGAGCCTCTGACCGCATAATGACAACCTCTGATACAGAATGCTGCTGACAACAGTCTCAGATGATGAGGAGAAGTCATTATTATTGGTCTTTTTTTAGGTGTGTTTAGTAGTTAAACATTTGAATTGTAAGTACATTTTAATTTACATCGACCAGTTCAAAGTTGTTTCCTCTCTTAGAACTGTTCCTATTACTGGGGTTGCTCTGCTTGGTTGGCCTACTATATCAACCATCCACTGTATACACCTCCATGTAAGTCAGCCTATGTGCACACACACACACACACACACACACACACACACACACACACACACACACACACACACACACACACACACACACTCTGCAAGCAGCACCAATCAACACCAGCTTATATTTCTTCACAGCATATGGAGAACTACAAGTCAACTATGCATTATTCATATTTATGGTAAGTACATTGAAATTCCATATAGACTCAAAAACATTTACAATGTGTTTGACAGTAAGGGTGCAAAATGCTTTTTTCTGTTAGATGTGTGAACTGGGAAACTTCTCCATTCACTTGACTCTAAATAATCTCAGAGCAGAGGGTGAGTTGTTGCATTATTCTGTTGACGGTGTCTAATCCATCCATTTAGATTGTTTTTGTGATAAATATATTAAAACGTTAATTGTCCCTGTTTTAATAGTTGCTTAATTCATGCTGACAATATTTTTGGTTGATTCACCATTAAAACATGCATGATACTGGTTTTTTAAATGCTTACATTTTAAATGGTAACAAAATATATGTTTTTGTCACACACTATTTCTCAGGATCCAGGTGCAGAAGATTTCCAGCACCAACAAAGAACCCCTTCACATGGCTATTTTTCTTTGTTTCCTGTCCAAATTACACATATGAGGTAATCAAGAGCCTTTCAAGTAATTCATCATTGCACATAATATTGCACAGGCTTGTGTGTTTACCTCTCTGCCTGTATTTTTGACACATACTCTAGGTTGGAGCTTGGATGAGCTTTTCCATCATGACCCAGTGTCTGCCAGGTATGTTCAGTAGTATTACAGCAGTACATTATGTTTTATTGGCATACATCCACTTGTGTATTCTCTACTTGTATGTTTTGTTTTCCAGTGGCATTGTACACATTACTGGGGTTCCTTCAGATGGCCATCTGGGCCAAAGGGAAGCACAAAGCCTACAGCAGGGAGTTCAAGGACTATCCCAGCGTCCGGATGGCCATTATCCCCCTGGTTCTCTGATATTGATCAAAACAAAATGAACTATTGTAGCATACAAGTTATGTATTTTCACAGTCCTCAAGGGTTTTGCACTAAAACGATGTTTGCTGCTGCTAAGGCCAATACTATGCAATATATTTTATATATCTATGTACTGAAAGGGGTAGGAATGTAAGCAATAAGATTATGGCAATATACTGGAACATCTAAAAAATATAATACGTTCATTTTTTGTTAGTTTGTTCCCAGTGAGTATTTATCATTACAAGCTGACTTATTAACCCACAGGTTGAGACACTTATTTTCAATGATACATTCTTGAAGCACTAAAAGCAGATGTTGAATGATGCTAATAATAAGCTTCTCCACCATTTATCTCAGATTTGTACTTAAGAGAAATGGAAACTATACTGTAGAAATGTGACTTCTGGAATGAATGTGTAGAGGACTCATCAGTCAATAATAACAGTTGTTCTCCAGCCCTACTGTCTAATCTCAGGTTTTAAAACGGTTTTGTATACATGTGTATGTGAGTGACTTGAGTTAAAAATACATCACACACGATTTCTGTGGGGAAAAGTCCACATCTTAAGTGTTTATTTATTTGATATGAAGCCCCGATAACATTTTCATAATGATAAAGCGCAAAGTGTGAACAAGATATGTGTGGCAGAAAATCATCACATGATATTAAAATGAATACCATAGCAGCAAGAGGATTTTGTAAAAAAAAAAAAAGAAAGCATTAGCTGTATTGCACTAGCCGCTAGCAGAACATCTTGAAAATAATTGTGATGCTTCAATTAAAGCTGCATCAATAAAGTGCTAAGAATATTGTGCTTATTCTGCAAATCTGTAGAAGGCAAAACAAATATGGCGTCTGAAAGCAAATTAAAAAAGAAACACGGAACCTTCATGCTTTCTCCACATTCCCATCACAACATGATATTGAACCTTTTTTTTTACACGTAAGCAATCAAAGTCACGGGCAAATCAAGTTCTGTTTTTTAGTTTGCAAGGCCTACAAGGTGAGCAAGACTTGGAACATAAAGCACGCACATGCGCCACAATTTCCAAATTCCAAAGCCCATTTACTGCATTGCTGGAAAATAAAAGTATTGCAACATGTCAAATCAACAGTCAAATATGACATATATGATCATGTCCTACATAGGGCTGCTTCAATCACGAACTGCATTTCAAGATCCAACCCCACATAATGGATCAACAAGGACTGCCCCACTCAAAAGGCTCCTCCAATGATGTGATATACACCCTTCTTTTGCTCAAATATGAAGGCATAAGTCACTTGTCTCCAACAGACCAGGAATGTAGAGATTCTTCTTTTGACTGTTTTATTTGAAAAGGAGGTTCAACTTTCATTCCTCCAAAGCATCGTCCTCTAGTTGAACTCATGAAAGTAAGTTCACTTCTTCAAAGGCTTGAAGGGTATTGCTTCAATATATCGCTGTGCCCCAGCAGCTTTTGGATGCAACACGATAGCTTCGTCCTCTCTAGACTGTTGCTTGGCGAAATTCACAAAAACCTACAGGGAAATACATAGAACAAATTAAGATGAACCTATTTCCCTAAGACAAATAAACAGCTGCTGTGGATTTTGGCAAATTTCCATTTCATAATTGATCATGTTTCAATATGCTCATTTACCTGGTCAAGAGTGGTTTGGGACACTGAGTAGTCCTCTATGTTGAGCTTGTCTTTGTTAGCTAGGACCATTTGAAAGATCTTAGCCAGGGAGGAGAAGGAAATCTTGTACTGCAGAGTGTTGTGGTGTTTCTCTCTCTGTATGCAGCCGGGGAAGGTGCTCTCCATGAAGGCTTCAGCAGGGGTCAGGTCTGGGGAACAACCAGGTTTAGCTGCCCTTATCTTCATGGTCACCACGTAGCCGTCACCAAACCTACAGTAACATTGATGTAAAGAAACAAAAAATCAAAACACTTTCCGAAAATTCGAATTGGTTCATTAATGTTTCAGGAATATAATTAGAAATGTTGATACATGGTATAGAAGTATAATGACTAACTTGTATTTCAGATGCTGAATAGTTCCCAAACACTTAAAGGATCCATTAACCATAATTGCTAAGCGGGTACATAGCGCCTCACATTCCTCCATACTGTAAAGAAAGATGGTGAAATTAGAATTCAATGAAATGCATTCACACACACACACAGTCAGTTAGCCACACTAGATAAATTACCTATGTGAGGTGAGGACCACAGCACGTCCGTCTTGAATAACACTCATGATGGAGTTCCACAGGAAGCGTCTGGAGAGAGGGTCCATGCCTGTAGTGGGCTCATCCTTATGTACAGTGATTACAAAAAATACATTAACATACACACAGACATCTAGCATATTAACTACCACATCTCTTCTAATCTAAACAAATCAATGGCGAGCGTTGGTCTTACCAGTAGCACCAGCGCAGGGCAGCCTATCATGGCGATCGCTGTGGAGAGTTTTCTCTTGTTACCCCCGCTGTAGGTCCCAGCACTTTGGCTGGCATACTCTGACAGACCCAGTTTCTCAATGGCCCACTCTGCAACCTGCGCATGTGAAGGATACTATTAGTGCCTTATTTTACAATTAGGTCAAGGACTACTTGTCAGGTTTAAATATTGAAAAGACACTATTCATACTTTGTAGTTTCTAATAACACAGGGTTTCTAACCCATCTTTCATTCTTTAAAACACTATAACATTATGACAATGATATTTAAATGCTTTATATAAGGGTAGCACAAGCTTGACAAAACATATGTTCTTATCTGTGGATCTATTTTGGCATTACTCAAAATATATACTGTAGCTTCTTTAATGCCCCACTACTGGTCTAATTCTTTCTCAAAATAGATATACCTTTTTTGGTTTATCTTCATTATTTTAATAGTCTCTATTATAAGATATCACTCTTTTTTTTACTCATCATATTTCTCATTTGCACTGCTGCCTACAACTGTCAGGTGCAGCTTTAAATGATTGATTTCGTGGCAATAGCTACGCCTCACCCTGCTGATCTCAGACTCTGGAACTCCACGCAGGCGAGCGTAGAGGTGGAGATGTTCTCTGCCTGTTAGCAGCTCATCTATGGCATCAAACTGTGGGCAGTACCCCATGTTCTGGTGGACATCCAGGATGTTGGTCAGAATGCTACAGATTTAGGAAGAAACACTTTGGGTAAAATGTTTGTTAAATTAAAATGTGTCCTTTCTATTTGTAAAAAACAATTATTACAGACCTGTGACCAGCAACTGAGGCCTTTCCTGAGGTGACATCAATGTCTCCAGTCAACATTTTAAAGGTTGTTGTCTTCCCTGCTCCATTTACCCCAAGTAGACCAAAGCACTGGAGGAAAAAACATGAAAGATAAACAATGAATATACAGAATGCTTCCTCTGTGAAGTAAATTGCCTCAGTGTGTTTTATCACACAAACCTGTCCAGGTGACACTGCGACACAGATTCGATCCACTGCAGGGATGATTGTTCCTGTGTATGTCTGGCAAGGCAAAATGAAAACAAAATAAGTACAAAAATGACAGTATACTTTTTAGACTGAAATCCTTCTTTTAACATACATTTTAGCAAACACACATGTCTTACCTTGGACAGGTCTCGTACGCATAAGATGTCATTTGTTTTTTCACACTTATAGAGTCGATCTCGTTCCTCTGCCACATCTAAATCTTCATCCACAATAGGAGGCATGGTGCAATCTGACATCCTGCCAATGGAAGAAGTGTTTTGTTATCACACTCAATGTAATATCAAAGAACAATTATCTTTGCTCTATCAGTTCCCCAATTTAAGCTCTACTACGCTTACCAGTGATCCAGGCAGAAGCGATACTGAAACAGAAGGTTCAAGATGAAATATAGAAATCCTTCAACAGCCATGCAGAAAATGTTCTTCCCCAAGAAGTCCCAGTTATAGGGGTCCGGACTGTAGTCCTCACCTGAGGAAATACAAACCACATGCACACTTTTCAGTCAGACTTTCTGCCATTCTGTTAACAAAAGTTACAAAGCAAGGTAAAAAGAGGGATTGTATTTGTATTGGTATATTTCATATTTTGTCCTATTTGGTGCAAACGGAGGGTTTACGACTCTGCAGTTTGCTGGTACTTGATGGCACATGTAAACTATCAGATTTGTTATGCAGCCATTTAGCCAGAATACATTCAGACTGTCGAACATTGGGAGGTTTTTGTTGCTATAAGTATTTGATGGATGTAACATATACGTATGAGCATGTGTGTGTCCTTACCAAAGCGAGCGTAGATATCAGTCACAGCCTGGTTCATGGCCATGTCTATGAGACCTCGGCCCAGGCAGTAATGTGGGAAGATGAGCAGCACAGTCTTTAACATCTGGTTGAACCTGTACAAGGCCTGTAAAAGAAATCCAAATGAGGGTGCTATGGAAGATGCATGCAAGATGGCATTTACAGTAACAAGCCCTGTGTTCTTACTGTGGTGCCCTCAAAGAGGTCCAGGATGAAGGTGATGGCACTGCTGTTGATGCCAATGAAGAGGTTGATACATGACAAAGAGACGTATGCTGTGCTGGGGACGCTGAATGCAAAGGACATGGGGTACATCATGGGCGTCACAGACCAGCTGAGAGAGAAAGAGAGAGAGGAAAAAAGCATTAGGTAAGCCCAAAGAATGAAAGCTACTAAGATTGAGATTTTAAAATGAGCCATTATTTTACATTCTTTGTTGTAAAAAAAATACAAACACTTACCCATAAAGCATAAGCAAGGAAATAAGTGGCTGGATGTTGGTTGGTGAGGTGTAGCACTTCTTATCAAAGAATATGAATATTTCAACCACCAACGCTGCACTAATGGAGTAATTCAACTGTAAAAAACAATAAAACAATAAGGATATGCATGCTCCAGAAGATGGGTCAACAAAGTTCTCTTATGAGCAAACTGCAAAAAGCCAATTTACATTTGGGTGTCTTTAAATGTGTTGTTCTTAAAAAACATTATTGCACATCTTACAAGGTAAAAGGGTCACTGTACCATGTCCCAGAGGAAGTTGGCCATCCAGTACACCAATGGACTGACACCACTGACAAACTGCAGGTGTTTGGCCTGGGTTACCCTCTCCTGGATTAAATAGAGCACGAAGCTGGCAGGAACGAAGGACATGGCAAAGATGACACAGATGGCCACCACTGCATCCACTGAGGTGGTCAGGCTAGAGAAAGAAGAGAGGAAAGCTATTATAGACACTTAAAAAAAACGGAATACTTGACCTACTTCACAAGTATTACAACCTGGTGACACTATTTCTTAGAATAGTGTTTAGTTTTCCTAGCAAATACCCAGAAAGGTTTTACATTTTGAAATGTAATCTGATCTGTCCAGCCATTGGTGACTCACACAGTGATCTCAGACAGCTGTTCTTTGGTGAGGTTCAGAGGGTGGTTGATGGCAGTGATTCCATATGTATCCAGGTTAGCTCCTTTCGGCAGGTTTGCACGAAGGATGGCGTTGTTAGCCACATTCATAAAGGAAACCATGGCATGCCAGCCTTTATTGTTGTACCACACCTGTCGGAAGACAATGTACTTGAGCAGTGACGATTTATAATGTTTGACAAACTACATAATTGACTTGGTCTGTGAGAAAATTATGTAAAGTCTATTAAATGTTTTTCCACAATGAGACAAGATGATCACATTAAAGAAGGTTGTATGCAGCTGAAGAGGCATTATTGGAACTGACCTTGACATTGTTTTGAGTTTCCATAAATTTGAGGAAGGTTCCTATGTCCTTTAGCGTTTGCTTGGAGTATTTTCCCTGCAAAACAAAAATTACAGTGGAGCAAATTAAGGTTAACAAAGAAACAATCATAAAAGTGCGAAAGAAATAAGCAAGCACATAATGTTGAGTTTCAAAGCCTACCCCAGTGACATTGAGCAGTCGTCCCATCTGTGCTGCTACATCCTGGATGGTCTTTGGCTGCAGCTCTAAAAGAGGAAGCTGCCCTCCCACTGATATACCTCCATACCTGGACACAGAGCAAACCCTGCTGACATCTACAAAGCTTTACTCTGCCTGGAACTACTGCAGCCCAAAAACTGTACAACATTATTGCAACCACTAAATGGAGAACTGCATTACCAAGCATTTCGTCAAGTAATGAAATTACCTTTGTTCATTCACCCAATATTTGCTCTTCAAGCTGAAAGAGATTAAACATTTTGCACTTTAACATTAACATTACATAACATTAATATAATATACTTTTTAATTGAGGGTCACGCACACATCTTACATCTTTGATTTAATACAGTAACAGTGTTTTGCTTTCTAAGTTTAGGTCAATCTAGAGGAGAGAAAATATAGTACAAATATTTTATAAGTACAGATAATGAATGCATTAAATAAGAAAGCTCTTCCTTTGGAAAGGGTGTACAGGGTCTTATACCTGGTTCTGATGAGGCTGGGGTAGGTCTTCACCAGGTAGTCAGAGATGCTCCTGCCTGTTAGGTCCATGAGAACATCTCCTGTTGACTGGATCCTCTGGTGCAAAAGATAAACACGCACTTTATATTTAATATGAGAAACTGATCAGCAATAGTGGTCATTTTTAACATAAATGACCCAACTCCATACCTGTGGAGGTGGCAGGCCTCCAGCTCCAGCAGGACACACAGGGAGCATGGTGAGTTTACTGGGAGTGCTGCACTGACAGTCAGGAGACGGTCTGAGGGAGGTCCATTCTGGGCCGGCCAGCATTTCTATCAGGACGGGGTTAATCAGGGGCATCTCCCACTCTGTAGTGATGTTGTGACATGGGAAATCTCTACCAGTGGAATACATTTACTTAGTGAGAAAAACAAACAGTATAGAGAGAAACATGATCAATATATGTGTAGGTGACTTACTCCAGTGGCTCATCCACCATGCAACGTGTCCCAAAGCCAGGCTTGTTCAACAGCACCTCACCAAAGTATCTCATCTGAGCATCCATAGGACGCTCATTGCTGCAATGGTAAAATCAGAAAATGACAATGAGCATTTTAAGTCAATAAGTATTGTTCTGATCTGATTGATTTGGCGAATCTTCTCATTGGTGACATTGTGTCCATTTTGCCCACCGGAAGAAGGTGTACTGTCTCCCATACATCCAGGGACTGAGGGTCAGACTTGGATACTCTCCGAAAGGTGGAACGATCAGAGTGAACGTCAGTGCCACAAAAACAAAACTGGCTGGCAGCACAATCTACCAAAGACATAAACACATGTGTCATATAAAAAAACAGACACAATATGTAATGCTCTAATTAAGATCAAGGCCCTAGAACATATTGGGGTAACACCTAAAACATACAATTATATTTAGATTACTGCATTGAAATGTGGTTTGCTAGATGATGGTAAGGTTACCTGGGCGAAGAAGTCTTTGTAAGATCGCGTTGCATGATGCAATCTCTTGATCAGCAGTGCGAAGAACTGTTTGATGGTGAGACGCACCCCTCTGACCTGGTAGGACCCCCGGCCTGCAGTGCCGTCCGAGACATCACACGGGCCCCGGCCATTGGTTTTCAAAGGCCCATCTGAATCTAGAATATAGAGCTCAAGTCAAGTTGCACAGTCTGACTTGCACGTGCGTTGCAAATTCTAAATTAAAAAGGCTAGCCAGCAAGCAAAGCATTTGTAGGAACAAATATTTAACTGCACACTGAACTAGCCTAAGGGATATAGTTCATCTTCTTAACATGATACTGGTTTGTCATTGGGATCCAAAATAAAATCTAACCCTTCATAAATTATATTTATTTATATTTATTTTCGGCAACAGCAGCATTTGTCCAGAGCTGTCAACTAAAAGCCATTGTCACCTTTCGGTGGTTCCATATCAACTGCCACTCTGTTGAATCCACAGAGTCTACGACAGATCTGTTGCAATGATTTCTTGTCTGAGGGAGTTAGAGAATTGAATACAAAGGATGAAGTACACACAATGAGTGGGCTACGAGAAATACAGCTACACATTCAGACTCACAACAACTCAACATGACAGGAAACAGAGGTTGGGGAATAGGCTACAAATATTATTTTATGTATTTACCTGGAATACATTTCCTGTTGGTCCCACTAGCAGTGACCTTTAGGAAGATCTACAAACAAATAGCTTGTTATTGTTAGAATCCAAGATTAACAGATGCTCTTTATTAGAGAGCGTAATCGCTGTAAAGGTGAATGTCAGGCAGCGTCTGTATGACTGATTGTTTCAATAAAACATATTCTTTTGATATTGGTATTACATTAAATTTAGCACTGGAAATGAAAATATCATTTGCATTTCAATGACAAAAATGTGGTTTGATTCAGCGGGCAGACATTGTCATGTTGATCTATAGTCTAATTTCTTAAGTCCTGAGACTACAATGTAAATGTGTTAATGTAAATAACTTTTTTAATTTGACCAATAAATCACAACTGCATTCTCAAGATGACAACTGCTTCATTTTGTTTCCTATTGTTTTCACACACCTCCTCGAGCGATGTGTCGGAGACCCCAAAGCTGCTCAGGCCGCTGTCCACCAGGGTTTCCTCCAGCTCTCTGAACAGGCTGGCGTACGCTCTGTGCTGGAAGTTTTGGTTTGGCAGCAGGTAGGTCAGCTCCTGGCCAATGGCCTCGATGAGCCGAGCCTGGGGCACGTGATGCTTGATCAGGGCTGTGATGCTTTCCATGTTACCTGGGGACAAGATTATTATTGCCTTATTTCAACATCCTGCACAAGTTATTGGTCTGTTTGTTGTTGCCTGTCTTAGGGCTGTCATTATCTGATTTTTATTACACAATTATTGTTGTCAAAATGAATCATGTTAATGATGTTTAATATCTATAAACATTTTCAAAACTCATTTATTATAATTTTGCCATAAGTCAAATTCATTTTTAACTTTGAGGTTCAATTGTCTCTTGCCACTCAAAATATTTGTGTAGGGAGAGTCCTTAACCATAACTGTAAAAAAACTGTGGATTAAGTGGTGCTGCATTATTTACACACATATTATCGTAAGTGAATATATTTTTTAAATAAGGACCTTGAGAATGTAAGGTAAGCAGCATCAACAGTATTATTAAAATATCTGAAAAGTGACAGGTGACAGAAATGTGCTGTAAGAAGATGATGAGTTTTCCCATAATCACAGTTAGGAATTAAAAAAGAAGAACAACACATTAAGCTACAGCATGTGGTGGAGAACAACTGCACATCAAATTGACCTTTAAAGGGTATAAAGATAATTGTGTGTACGGTAATAGAGGGTGTTTCTAGGTGTGTTGGCAGCATCTACAGTACGTAGACTGACTACAATCCAGTGCAAAAGAGCTATTGACTAACATGATTAAGAGATTATGACAAAGGTATTAATAACTTAGAAGTTGAATAGACCTAAAACATGTTTAAGAATATTGACAATGAACTTGGCAGTACACACAGACCTCAGAAATAACAACACAAACACATTATTTGGAACTTACCATCCAGCTGTCTGTCTGAAGTCTGAATCTCCTCCTGGTCCACTTTAAACTTTGAACACATTGAACAGTTACAGGAGCAATCCTCTGTTAAGTGACAGCTGGCATGCAGGACAACATTTTACTTTAAAGCATGCTTTACTTGTTTTATATCTCTCCTACATATATATACGAGAGAGACTCGTTCAAATCACAAATGCTCTTTCATATGCTGTTCTAGTCAGACAAGAAATGTGGCAATATATTTAAATCCACCTTCTTATTCATCATTTCACTTTTAAATCTACCCCTTTGTGCCATGCAAACAAAACACAAACAAGGCTTCATTCTCATTTGTTCTCACCTTTTGAGTATCATGTTTCATTTTTCTTACAAGAGTGAGGTAGAAACCTGCGCCAAAACAGTTCTTGAGGAAGATAGGGGAACCGGAGCAGCAGAGGCGGCCCTGAGAGATGATCGCCACCCTGTCACTCAGCAGGTCCGCCTCGTCCATGTGGTGGGTGGACATGATCACTGTGCGCCCTGCGACATGTGACAAAGAGGGGCAACATAGAAGGGGTAAATAAAGAGATATGAAAGAATGTTAGATGTTTGAAGATTCTGTGGGGAAAGCCTTTTAGAAAATGTCCTCCAGTGGTGCCGGTGTTGTGTCAAATTATGCACCCCCATCATGAAATGCCCCCCTTGTCACGGGAACGCGCATTTCTAACACGTTTACACCTTAAAACGATGTTTAAAACGAAAAGTAAACGTTCAGGGTTTTTATTAATGGTAATTTTCAGACTGTGAGTTGTTTAGTGGTAGCTCATATAGTCTTGATTCTTGTGGTTAAACTTTTCGCTCCTATTTGATGGTAGTGGTGTCGAAATTCATTCGTCACTTCCTTTTCAGTCTTTTTTTTTTTTATTATTGTTACGTCCTGTCTGTGTACACGTGCTTTAAAATGTATTGTTTAATTTTACATATTTGTCATACAGTATAATACCCTGAAAAATGCACCCCCCCCCCCAAAAAAGATGTTTATATTATTCCCACCCTCAAGCATTTTTCAGGGTATAGTTGTAGGACTAGTACCAATGAATGGAGCAAGTTTCATGAATGTGACACTTTTATTTTGTAAGATAGCAAGGGGTGCATAACGTGGCAAAAATATGCTGACAAAGACTATGTAACATTTGTAAACATATATTTTGATTATTATATGACAAATATGTAAAATTAAACAATACATTTTAAAGCACGTGTACACAGACAGGACGTAACAATAATAATAAGAAAAAAAAAGATTAAAAAAAACAAAAACTGAAAAGGAAGTGACGAATGAATTTCGACACCACTACCATCAAATACAGAGCGAAAAGTTTAACCACAAGAATCAAGACTATATGAGCTACCACTAAACAACTCACAGTCTGAAAATTACCATTAATAAAAACCCTGAACGTTTACTTTTCGTTTTAAACATCGTTTTAAGGTGTAAACGTGTCATTTAGAAATGCGCGTTCCCGTGACAAGGGGGGCATTTCATGATGGGGGTGCATAATTTGACACAACACCGGTGCAGACAACCTCCACAGCACCATCACATTATAAGACTCTATCCCCTTTTCTAGCCACCAGGGGTCAGACTTACCTGCACGATATTTGAGCAGCAGGTCCCAAATGGAGCGTCTGGAGTAGGGGTCTACCCCTGAAGTGGGCTCATCCAGGATCACCACCTTGGCCCCACCAACAAACGCCAAAGCTACTGATAACTTCCTCTGCATTCCACCTGGATGAACACATAAAGTGCACGACTCAGATGTGTGTTTGGCTTGTATTGTATTTGTCGTTTGTACAAGGATACTAAATGGGGACCATCTTTTTTTTTTTTTTTAAAGTATCCAGACAGACCTGAGAGGTTCTGGGTCAGTTCATTTCTCTTGTGTGGAAGACCCAGATCCTGCAGCATGTTCTCCACCTCCTGCTCGGCCTCTGCTATTGAACGGCCTTTCAACTGCGAGTAGAAGAGGATATGTTCCGCTACAGTCATACTGAAAGAGGGGAAAGCAATAATCCAGTTACAATTGACATGTAACTCACTGAATCCATGTTTTTATTTGTATTACATTTTAATGTGGTACTATAAACCATGCAATCTATCAAAACTACTATCATGAAGAGTTACATACTGCTGAAAAAGAATGTTGTGTTGAGGGCACATTCCCAGAGACAGGCGGATGGTGTCCATGTCTGTGCGGATGTCCTTGCCGTAGATGGTGGCTGTCCCTGAGGTGGGAGGGAACATACCAGTCAAGATAGACCTGGGAAGAAGAGACAGAGAGAGAACAATAAGTAGGGTGGAACATTTTGTCCCCTGGCTACATAAGCCTTTTGGTTTATGTTTGTTTGTGTGTGAGAATGCATCTGTGTAACATACATGGTGGTGGTCTTCCCAGCCCCATTCTGTCCCAGAAAGGCAGTAATCTGGCTCTCATAAAAGCTGATGCTAAGTCCATCCACTGCTGGCGTAGGGTTACCACTGAACACCTTGACCAGGTCCTGAATACAAACACCCTTCACCAGGTCAGCTGGCTCTGCTTCAAAGAATGACTGACCTTCATACAACAAAGAGAACCACATATATATTACAAATGTGTCTGGAAGTTAACCAAATCGTACAAAGTGACAATCACAACAACATATAATTTCCCTTTGACTTTTAGTAAACAAAAAAAAGGCTATTTTATTTCCAAATATGAGATCAGTGGTCTGGTATTCCAAACTGTGTGAAGAAAACAGTGTCCCTCACTTATTAACTAAGCAGGAAACTGAGAAGCTAACAGTATGTTCACATATGCCAGCAAATGCAAACAAACACAAGGGCACTGAGTTCCCACACAATGAATGTGATAGGCAGAAAGAGAAAATGTGTGCAAATAGAGAAATGGCTCTAATCCTATAAAGAGATCATCTAGTTGGAGGAATATTGCATAATAGCATAATCATTAAGCACTGTATTATGTGGAATTATGCTGTAATTTGCTCATGTGATCAGTCTTGAAAGACAAATGCAGCTGTTATGTGTAATAATAGAATGATAGATGATAATATGATAGAACTGTATCCTTAATACCCTGTGGTAGAATATGAGGAACAGTTATTTCAGGAAGGAATATCTCTGTGTGTAAGAAAACCAGCTTTGCACACATAACTTGTATGTAACTAGTATACCTTCTTTCTCCTGGTTCTCCTCTGCCTCAGCCTGGTTCTCCTGGTGTTCACATGAGGCCGTCTCCTCCTGAGTCTTGGCCTCCTCTTGATTTTGGTTTTCATTTTCCTCTTGCTTCTGCAGCTCTCCTTGCTCTTTGTTGGCCATGTTATCAAAGCATTTGTTATCCAAATGTAGTTTGTCGTCACCTTTGAAGACAAAAGAAAGGATTTTTAAAATGGCTATGATTTACACATTATGTCGCTGAATGAATGTCTCTCCCGTAAGTATAAAACTTTTCTTATGCACAATAATGAACAGGGTAAATGTAAGAAAGTAAGTTTACCTAAATCCGGCGACACACTGTTAAACCAATAACAGGGCAGGAAGGGAAAGTAAAACGGACGACTAATTCCATACTGGCCTATAATGAAAACAAAATACATATTACTTCAGCTACAGTTAACCTGTAAAGAAATTAAAGTATTTTTTTGATTGACAGAAAAAGTTGTAACCTAAGCATTCATGTATTCCTGTTACACTGACCAGGGAAGACATTGTCCAGGTACCAGGCCAACACAGCATAAAGCACAGTGTCCAGGCCCATCATACTGATGGAAGTAAGAAAGGAGAACTCATCCCCCTCCAAAGGGCTGGTTTGGATGTTGTCCCACTGCAGACCCAGGCCCTGCTCCTCATATCGCGACAGGTACTCTGTTCCAAAGCCAAAAGCCACTTGGGACAGCAGACTCTAAGGGAAGAGACAATAATAAAATGGTATTTGTTCTACTTTATTAAACGTAACATTTAACCATGTAGTTCATTTAACATAGACTTTGTGAATGTGTGATGGGCATCTGAATGTGACACCAACCAGCAACAGCTTCATGTCCTTTGTGATGCGGTCTTGCCATGCGAAGCAGAAGATGTGCGGGAGGTAAAGGGTAAAGTAAACGATCCCACAGCAGGCTGCTGCTAGGTTGGCCTGGTTGAAGAAGACGCTGAGGAGGAAGCATTGCATGATGGTAGCCATGGTGAAGCTGAGCAAAAAAAGGAAGAGGATGATGCCGTTGCTGTAGTTCAGGACCCTTCCTCCCTATGGAAACACAAAGAGGGATTTGTATTACATGCAATGCACTGAATCAGCATAGGACCATCAAACACACATACTGTGGATCCAAGAGACATAGTGATTCATATTCTCAATAACAGGGCATGGTAAGTTAAGGGGAAATCATTTTTATCATATCTGATTTAATTTAAATATATTTTGTATCGGCATTGCTATAAATATAATGCTTTAATTGAGCAAAATATTAAAGGATGCAGTGTTTTTACAATCAAATTGGAATAATTTGCATGTTTTTTGCGTCATTTGAATCAAACTTTAGAAACCTTAAGATGTTAAACATAATCAAAAGGTATATTTAGCCAATTTGCCATGTTATGGGCTTATAAATACCATATTAATGACATGGACATTTTTTGGGTTAGCTTGGTATTAAAAATCAAATTACATATATCGTCCACTAGAGGTCCCAACAGCACATCTTAAAAGAAGATGTTAGCTGACTACATGGGATGACTTGTGATTTTTACAACATAGATAAGTTAATCATTGACCAGCCCATTCCGTTGAAGTTGTTGACAGAAATTCCCATGATGTCATTCATAGTTCTTTCATCAATGATTTATAGGTATGCAATCAGCGAGGCCCTATTGGTAATTCAATATGTCAAGGACAAAGAACTGTTAACTATTGACAATAAAATGATGATAACACACTGCAAAAACTGCAGATCTAAACAAGTGTAATAATCTTATATTTAGATTCTAAATCTAGTTGGTCTTGATTTTAGTTTAAATAGCTTATCTAGTGCTTTCTAAGTGCTTTCTTATTTTAAGAGCATGTGTTCTAATTTAGCTCCCTAAAAACAAGAATTTCATAAATCTAATTTTAAGTAATTTGATGCTAAAAAGTACCCTAGTTTTGAGCTTCTTTTGCATTAAATAGGCTTAACTAGATTGCTTGAAATTAGTCATTTTAATCTTATTTCAAGATTTTATGTGCTATAATGACAGTCGGACAGCCTGACTTATTTTAAGACATCTTATCAAGTAAAATTCACTTACTGCACTGGCAGCCACATTTGCTTGTTTTAAGCGCAAGCATGCTTATATCTAGAAAGTTTGGCCTTAAATTTGACAGGGCATTTTGGCAGTGCATGCATTACAGATTTTATACTTCATCAGTGTTCAGCCAACTTTGGAACCAGGTATTCTGTCTAAACAAACAGTGCTTGTTTGAAACATGTATGATGTTGCAGGTAAGAAGAACTTTGGACAGTTCTTTCGAAAATCCATCCTCACCATGATGATGGCGGTTAGGAGCGCCGTGCTAGTGCCCATCATGAGGAAGCTGTCAATAAACCAAGTGGACCAGATGACTCCATTAGTGACCCCCATGGCCTTCATGGTCTCCTTCAGGCGTAGTTCCTTCTCCAGGACAATACTCTTGACAATCATGGACACAGAGTAGACCCAGGCCAGTACCATGAAGATGGGGAAACAGCGGTTCAATGCGAGCATGAAGCTAAATAAAGGGGAAGAAGGAGAACAAGATAGAGGGTAATGACACAGTTACTGAACCAGAACACCATCATTTTGTGATTCTGGGAATATATAAGTTACACTGTTTTAAAAAAGTCGATATGTTTTGATGTTTTTTACTCACAGGTCATCCACATAACAAGGGTAGGGCATCTGCTGTAGGTAAATACCCATTGGCCACTCCTTTCCTGTCTGAGTCTTGATGATCCCGTGCTCTATGATGTCCTGAAGGTAAGCAAAGCCTCCCCAAACATAGCGGAAGTCATCCATAGGATCAGCTCTGGGGCCCGGGTCCCAATACCTAAGCATTACAAATATATTTATTTGGCAAGTTTATTATCATGATACTAAACTCATCATTTCCACTTAACTGTTTATTTATACCTATCTTTGACCTTATTGGTACGCTCCACTGCATCAATATCCATCCGAATCTTGAACTTAACATGAGGTGGGACATTGGTGGTCCAAGAGTGCATATTAACGAAGATGAGGCCTGCCCAGAACTTGTTGTCCTCTAACAGGTCCAAGGCTCGATGAGTGATGGTGTTCTCATCAGGCACAGCCACAAACTTATCCAGCAGTACACACTGAAGGAGGGAGAAGAATCCATTTAAAAATGTATAATGTTTGCCATATCATACACCATCTTGTGCCATATCCACAATCTTAGATCTTAGTCATGGTACCGTTTTCTAAATAGCTCTAAAACAGTATAGCTTAGGATGATGGGAATGACACTTGTTTTCAGGTAAAAGTCAACAGGGTATTTTCTGGAAACCATGAATGTCTTGTGCTGTTCCGAGAGTGAAGTCAAATTATTTTACTGGACGTGGAACGTGAAAGGAAATGTTAAACCTACTGGCTTCAATCAGAGTAATCATGGATTCATCCTCTGGAGACAATGAACGTTTGCAGAATTTGTAATTCTATTATTGTTGAAAATGTACAGTCTGGACAAAAATGGTGAATCTACAGCACCTACTAACAGAGAATGACATTACAATTTGTAGAACCTGGTTGCTAGCCTAACCAAAAAATGTAAAGTCTGGAATTGCGAATGTTGGCTTTAGTCACTTTAATCCAAAATATTTGCCCCCATTTGCAGAGAAACTTCGGCAGTGGTTGCCTCTTCCATTCAAAGCGTGTCTAACATAGCCATTCACTGTAAGCTAAAGAAAATAGGGACAGCAATGTTCCAAAAGAAACCCTCGAAAACAACAACCTACCCCTGAGATCCTATGCACAGATACAACCCAAACCCAAAACACACATTGGCTACACACAATTTGCCATGCATCCAAATGTACGCATTTATACACTTAGAGACACAATGTACACCAAACACACCCAACTAATTATTTAAATCTCAAAGGCCGTCCCTTAATTGCCAAAGCATTCAGCTACTAACACTGCTGTGTGATGTGATATGCCTGCATACCACCAACGTGCAGCCAACCAGCCTTCAAGCCCACGGTCATTGTTGGCCCTTTATAAAGGATGGTGGATGGAGTGACAGCTGTATCTAATCGGCCTCAATCGTTCCTTCTCTCCCTGTCACACTCAAGTGCTGTAAGCTTCAACTTGGACAAAAACAAAGAGCACCAACCATGCATCCAGCCAGGCCTCAAGGTGCCCCCCATGTCACCCCCCAGTGTGATAGGCCTCTCATCCCGATTAGCCTCCGTACGGAAAGGGGTGTTTTTAACTTTGTTCTAAAATGCATTCCTCAGTTAAATGTGGAGAGCGCACACAAGAGAAGGTTTGAGATGTTTTTCAGTTTTTTTTATTTTACCCTCCACTCCATCAACAGTAAACAAAAGGGACTCGACAGCTAGTTTGTTGCTTTGGCCCTCGCCCACCTGGGTAGATTTCAATGTCTTTGGATTGGCGGACAAATTGCAGAGCCCAAAGACAGCTTATCTAAATGCCCACATCACATCAACACTGGTATTGAGCACATAATGGTTATCCCACCAGAGTATTGAAATCAACAAGTGACAACACCTGCGCTTTATTGGATTATACCATGAATAGGCCTGTCCTAGAACTTGACATCTCAGGTGGAGTGAAAGAAAACAGTCCACATTCTTGCCGTCAGAACCCAATGGGAGAAGTTAGCAAAAACAATCCTGGCACCTTAGTTTCATCTTGAAATGTGGATCCCCCTTTGACTGGTCAGTATAATTCTCCACGCTTACACATTTACCTCCAGGCTGTGGTATTTTAGATTAAAGTAAGGGCCTATGACAAAACAAAGGAAATGCTAGAAAGATAGATCAAAGTGATGTCCACTCACATCACCATATTGGTTTAGCATCTGAATGACCCGGTCAGTGACGTTGAAGATGTCTCGCCAGTCAAATTCAGGGACGTCAGCTGGACGGTCCTCAGGTGGACCGTTGTACAGGAAGTTGAGGATGTGTTTGGAGGAGAGCGGAGACTCCTCTAGACTCCTGTCAATGAAATCCATCACTGATGGATTGTTGATGGTGTCCTGAAACGAAAGGCAGCTAGTATGTTGTCATTTATAACCACAATTAGGGTAATCAATTTAGTATTAAAGATTTTTGCTATATTTGGTTGCATAAAAAAGGAGTTTCCACTACAAACACATGATTTGACAAAATAACTTTAAAGGTTTTGTAGTTTGATGGTGTAAACGTAATTTTTCAGTCAGACTATATTGCTGTCCTACCCGGATCATCTTGACTTGGACGCCATCTTGGAAAAAAGCCCAGATCTGAGGAGCCACTTCCTCCCATGCCTTCCCCATCGTCCTCAGCCTCTCCAGCTCCTCAAATGTAGTGTTTGCCTACGGGAGAGATGTAAATGTGTGTGTGCATGTGAACGTGACAAAGTGGTTGGTGTTTCAACATTGCTATGTCAGGAAATTGTTTTAAAAAATAAACATCTATTTTCACAAATGCCAATATCTAAGTGCACACCATACAGAAATATGGGAGCACGTGCAAATACAGACATTTGGGGACAACTTCAAATAACTCATGTACAGGATACACGTGCACATGTGTACAAGACATTCAGAAACTCAAATGCAAACATTGTCACTGTTCTCCTAATCTCCTGCTACATACCATTCCCACATCAAACTCTCTGTGAAAACAGGCTTTGCAAAGACAACACACACATTCTCACAAAAAGAATTCCCGCGGGCCAGTTCAGATAACCAGCAACTGTGAAACAAATGCACTCTGTGGCAAATTGTCAAATATTTACTGCACGCTTATCGTGAAAACCATGGATGTGTGTGGGTACAGTGCTTTGTGTGGCAAATACCAAAGACTGGCTATTTCAGTATGCAGTCATGTGCAGTGGGGGATGAAAGCGCTCAAGAGTACACCCAATTAAACGCCTTCCTCTTGTGTGTGTCTGATTTTGGGTGACAATGGGGACAATAGAGCTGGGGTGACAATGGAGGCTGTTGGTGACAACTGGCCGAATGCATTCAGCCTGCCCAGTGAATCCCAGTCAGGTTCCCACAAGTGAGTGCTTCCTCAATTCCCCGGGGCTGTTTAAAACAGAAAGGGGACTGGGGGATTTCTTGAGTTGATTTCTTCAAGATGGCAGTGGAGGAATGTTGTAGTGTTCCTAGATGGTATGTTGTGCCTAACTCAGCATAAACCTTCAGTCAGCAAGCTTAGTTAAAAAGAATAGGGTCCAACACCATCGCAAACATGGCGCCTACCAGTTATGCTTGACTTACTGATGTTGTTTGAGTTGACCTTAAGTGAAATTAAGTAATTTCCATTTCCATATAGCAAAATTACAAAAATTAAATGAGGTAGTAAGAGTAGTAAGAGTAAACAAGTTAAATCGTATTTTAAGTCGGATACAGATAAGACTTGCATAGCTTATCATTACACAAGAGCAGTCACATAAAGCGTAGAAACATATGTTTAAATGCATGGTGCCTCACTTGGGGTTTCTTCTGAAACAAACTGATGCATGACAGAGTTAAGAGGACGGAATCAAAGACCCTGTAGAGGCCATGTTATGGTCTCGTAAAGTAATGGATTAACCCCTTAGTCATTACTTTCTAAGTGCAATTAAGATACCAATCTGAAGGAAGAGGAAAACAAAGAGGGCATTAAAGGTCAGGAAAGAGGAAACAGGATTGTGGGTGTCTCTTTGTGTGAACGATCACAAGACTTTAAGGACGAACTCTTACTGCTTACATAACATTGAAAAAGCTGTGGCGCCAGTAGACTCTGTGGTAGTCACCACAGCCGATCATTGCAACCAAGCCATCCATGACTGCCGCCCCCGAAGGGCTTTGACCAACACGTATCTACATCTAGATACAAAGGGCTGGACATGACATGAGGAAAGCTGATCCCCTTTGGAGGGAAAATGCATTGTCCCCTGCAGAAGGCTTGCTTGCTCCAAAGACAACGATATGGATGTCATGGAGAAACAGACAGCCTCTAGAAGGTGGTAATCTGGAAATAGTCTTTACTTTATTTCCAGACATTTTTCAATATCTCTTGTCTTAGTTTGTCTCGGTCAATGCCATACTTTCTTTTTAGTTTAATGATCCTGCCAACAACCCAGTTCTCCTGTTATCTATTCAAATTAAGCATAATGCATCAGGTGTTTCCACTGATTTCCTACAATATTGTATTAACAGTGTTCATAGTTACACTTCCACTCTCCACATTGATAAATCTATCCACCAAGTGGCCAATGGTGCTTACATTTTTCATGATCTGCCTGACAGCCGGCGAATCGGGTGCATAGAGGATCTGTCCCATCAGCATGGGCTTCACAGAGTTCCACACAATCCTGGTGACAGGGTTGGACTCCAGTTCTTCCATCAGTTCATTGCAGAAAGGAGCTGCAGGGAATGTGTTGTGTAATTGTAACATTCTATGAAATAATAATGAATGAATAATGAAATTAACGTTTTTTTATGGGTATCAAAAAAAATTGATATAGAAAGAACCTAGTTACTCTGACAAAAAAAAGAGAGATCTGATGATATTCAACACAAATTAGAGTAGGGTTACTCCAAGAACAAGGCCCATGTTCTGTAGTAAAAACCAAAAGCTTGTGACTATACCAATGCCTACTCTAATATCTGCCATAATGATATATGGTCTACTCACTGGTGCTGTTGTCGTATGTGTAGTGGCTCCGTGATTTGCCGCTGCCGATGCCTAGGAAGGCTTTGTAGTTATTGTCCTCATACCAATTAAAGGAGGTAACGCGGGAGAAAGCAGCTTCAGTGTAGCCACAGACCAGGCTGGAGGCAGCAGCCATCGCCTGCCTGAAAGACAGATTGTTCTGGAAGAGAGGAGTCATGACCTGAAGAAGCTCCCTGGAGCTATTCCTCTGGGACAACTGTTGAAATATAAGAAAGAAATAGCTTAAATTAGAACAGATGAGTGTTTTTTTTACATGTTACTTAATACAAATCATAATAGCTCTTAAATATTAAAGATATGTTGAGCAACAATACCATTGGTCAATCAGTGCAGACAATGCAACTGCATGGACAAAAATCCTGTGCATTGATTCTTTTTTTTTAGCCTTGCTTGTTTGACTTTTTTTTTCAAGGTTGTTCTTTCACGTCGTCTGTCTGGACTCTAGTCTCTGTTTTTTGAGACAAAGACAAGTGTCTTGCCAACAGGATGACAAATTGTCAGCTACTCTAAATATCCCATGGAAACTTCCACAACAAACAACAAAACGGTGGGTTACGTATTGTAACCCTAGTTATATAAGCACAGGCGGAGCCCTCTACTGGACTCTATGGGTACTACCTCTCAACCATACTATGCGAGCATTCATCAACTGAAATATCTATAACCGTAGCCGGCCCCCTGGGGTGGGCCTACCTGAATGCACGCGCAAGCCCACCGTATAAAAGGCGGCCTCGCCTCCTGGCTGTCATCCTACACTTCTCTTCAGCGAGCAGCATAGGACAGACAGGGCCCCGAGTAGAGGTCTCCGTCTGTGCTTATATAACTAGGGTTACAATACGTAACCCACCGTTATATCTCACACAGGCTCCGCCCTCTACTGGACTCTATGGGTACAGTGGGTGGAGCCCTGATGCCTAAACGCCCTGTCGTCCAACAACATCGAGTCACCACACTGCCCTTGACCGGCTTTTGGTTACCAGCCCCTGCACCGCAACCCCCCGGTTGTGACCGTGGAGAAGTGGGGGCCGCAGTTTACCTGGCTGGTAGGGCACACTCAGACATGCTTACCTCGTGAATAGTGTGCCTGGAAAACAGTGAGGAGGGCTCTCCTCCAGCCCTGTATGGGGCTTACTGCGCACCATGTTTTCCGGGTCCCTAAGGAGCATGGGAAAACATAAGTGCAGTGGGGTCAGATACCTGCCTGGATAGTCTGAATAACCTTGTCAGACAGTCCCCCCTGTCTCAGCCTGTCCCTCTCAGGAGCCAAGCCTGGAGAGGTTGGCCCAGAGTGGGTAACGCCCCTATTGCACCTGCCTCCTGAGACATCGCCCCCCAGAACTGCGGAATCGCCCAGGGCTGGCCCACCATCATCTGTGTCACCTCTGCGAACCACGGCGCCAAGCGGCGATCTGGGGCCACTAGGATAACTGACAGACGCTCTCGTCTCACCCTCTCCAGGAGGGGGAGAATGAGACGTACCGGTGGAAAGGCGTAGAGCAGCTTTCTTGGCCGAGACAATCCGCCCTTGGGGGTGGACGCGTTTGCACACGAGCCATGGAAAACCACAGGGTACAGTGGCTGTTGCGCTGGCTGGCGAACAGGTCCACCTTCGCTCTCCCGAACTGGGCCCAGATCTGCTTCACCACCTCCGGGTGAAGCACCCACTCGCCTGGCAGGGGCCCGCCTCTTGACATGAGGTCGGCCCCCCTGTTCTCCAGTCCCGGGATGTGGAGGGCCCTCAGAGACAACACAATCTCTGAAGCCCACAACCACAGGTTCTCTGCTGTGGTCAACAAGGCGGCGGAGCGGACTCCGCCCTGCCTGTTGATGTACGCCACTGTGGTGCTGTTGTCGCTCCTCACCAGCACATGTTTGCCCTGTATTAAGGGTTTGAAATGCTGGAGGACTAACACCACTGCCCGCAGCTCTAGAAGGTTGCTGTGCCCCCTATAGCTCTCCCTAGGCAGGTCCCCCCCCCCAACCTGTCACGGATGCGTCTGTGAACACCGTGACGTAGGAGGTTACCCGCCCCAGTGGAGTTCCCCTCCGGAGGCACTCTGGGGACCCCCAATAACGGAGGTTGCCCTCCACTGAGGGGGAGATGGTCACCAGGCGTCATTTGTGCCTCTTGGGATCTAAACGAAGGCTGGCAAACCACCTCTGCAGGCGGTTACCCCCTGTCGCAGTCTGCAAACTGCCCGAAGCAAGGATGCCTGTCTGCTCTCTGACAGGGTGGCGCGTAGGCTGCCTGCATCGAGCAACATCCTCAGATACTGCACCTGCTGGTGAGGTATGGGGGAGTTCTTCTTCCAATTGACCGCGAAACCCAACTTGGTTAGGTGTAGGATCAATTCCCTGGACCTGGCCATGACTATGAGGTCGTCTAGATAAAAGAACACCCTCATGCCACGGTTGTGCAGCGGCTGAAGCGCTGTGGCCAGACATTTGCTGAACGTGCGTGGGGATAGGGAGTAGCCGAACGGCAGTCTTTTGTACTCGTAGGCTACACCCTGGAAGGCAAAACGCAAATACTTTCTGCGCTTTGGAGCAATTTTGACATGAAAGTAAGCGTCCTTCAGGTCGATTGTTGTGAACCAATCGCCTCGCTGCACCAGTCCCAGCAACTGTTTTACAGTTAACATATGGAATTTTCTGCCTGCAATGTGGAGATTCAGGCTGCGAAGATCCAGAATGGGCCTGAATTCTTCTGTCTTCTTGGGAACCAGGAAGTACAGGGAATAGTGCCCTTCCTCTCTGTCTTGAGAGCGCACAACAGACACATCCGCTCGGGATGATAGATTCGCCTCTTTTATGCCTGTGAACGGAGGAGGGATGCTGCAAAACTGGAGTGAATAACCCAGTCTCGGCGTCCTGTCCATCCACTCCGTTAATACACAGCTGCGCTCCCATTCCCCATAACACTGCGTTAGGGGATGTGCAATCAGCTGCGGGGCCCCAGCTATAAAGCTGTGGTACTCCCTGGTGACCCGTTCCGCCGCAAAACTCCCCGTGAAGGGAAGTTCTGCCCATGGAGGGGACCAGATTATTCATCTGGCCCACGCAGCGGTCCGAATAATCGCTCCCGTCCGGAGGCGGGGAGGCGGGGATGTCCTGCTGAGGGGTGATCAGCGAGATACCCAACACACCGAGATTACTGGCCATCTTATCCAGATATTCCAGGATTTCACGGTCACGCGGCAGCGGGGGCAGAGGCTTCCTCCCCTCTGCCCACCCGGCTGCCTGCGGAAGCAGATGGGCCGCCAGGCTCTCATCAAGGGGGGGCACACCGGGACACTCCGTGTCCGAGCGGCCCTGCACCCTGAGAATTCCCGCCCACGTTGCCACTGGAGCCTTCGTTTTAAGTGGCTGTCGCCACGTCGCCTCCACACACTGCCAGATGTCTGGCAATGGGGGCGAAACGAAGGCCGGCTGCGTCGGACAAGCCGGGCCGTAGAAGCCCTGACGGATGCGGCTCACCGGCCTCGGTGGCAGCGGTGGGGGGAGCGGTAAGCCTACACGCTCCGCCGCCATAGTCATCACCGCCGGGAAGTCCTGCCGCGCAGACCTGTGCTGTGGACCCTCCTGGAGGCCGGGCCCGGAAGCATCAGACAACGAGGTGTCGACCTCGTCTTCCTCCTCGACGAACGGAGCCGCCTGGCCCGCTGGCATGGCGAACATGAAGGGCACCCCGACATCCTGTTCCTCCATCTCCACCACCTCGAGGTCCCGGTCCTCCGCCTCTTCCGGCGAGACATACTGCGCCTGGAAGTGCTACAGACACCGGCGGCGGCTGAGCCGCGGGATCAGGCAGCAGGCGTTGCAGGCCGGGGACTGGATCAGGCCGGCCACCGCGTGGTCAGGCCCCAGGCACTCGAAGCAGCGGCGGTGGAGATCGGCACCTGCAATTAAGCCCGGGCACGAAGGGCAGGGTCGTTGCTCCAACAGTGGTGAGTCCATGACTTTTCTTTTCAAACTTCTTCTTTATGTCTTTTCTCGTCTTAGCTCAGTTGTTTCCTTGCTCGCTGAAGAGAAAAGGATGACAGCCAGGAGGCGACGGCGCCTTATATACGGTGGGCTTGAGCGCGCATTCAGGTAGGCCCGCCCCAGGGGGGCGGCTACGGTTATATATTTCAGTTGATGAATGCTCGCATAGTATGGTTGAGAGGTAGTAGCCATAGAGTCCACCCATGACAGGTACACCACAAATGACATGGAAACAGTTGCACAAATTCAGTATTTATCATATCATCAAAATCAAAATTGCTATGGACACTGAACCACGTGCATACAACATCTAATAGTGACCAAAATACAACCACGCAATGAGACACTTCACAGAGTTAAAAACACTGCTTAAAGTAATCCAAGCAAAATAAGTTGATTTTCTCCCTATTTTAGGGAGAGAAAGACATACTCAAACAAAAACAGATCATTCAATCATGGTGTTTAACCTTTTCCATTTCTAAGGGGCTTCAGGTTTTCTTGCAGCCTCAGTGTTTCCATTGGGATGATCCCATAATGATGATATATCTGTTTTTGAGGCTGGATTTAGCCTTCCTCATACGCACTAAATGATATCCCCCTACTGTCTGTGTTTGTGTAAAAACTCAGGCAAGAGGAAGCAACTGTTTCCTGGCAGCTAAAAAAAGCAAGCGGTGAACTTTTGGATGGAGCTAGACTTACCTCTCGCAGTTTTTCCGAGACAGCGGAGACAACCCGTACCCAGAGCTGAATTTCAATGCCCTTTGAGTGATTGTCCAGCACCATAGGAAGCTGGAGGGGAAAATAAATGTATTCTTTAATTAAACACATAAACCCAAGTTCTTCCTGGCCCAGAGGAAGTTACTAATCCCTGGATCTTCTTTGTTTGTTTTGATCAGGAAGAGGAATAAGATGATACCTGTCCTTGATAACAGCCAGTCTGACGAGTTAGCATAATATCAAGTTAAAAGTATTTGGATACATGATATACTCAAATAAGTGTCTGTGGCAGACACAATAAAACTTTATTTTGTGCCATGAGGAAATGTGTTTTTGTGCTATAAAGAAATCTAAGCTTATGCAGTGACATAAATGTCTTAGTGGACCAGAGATGAATACTTGGCTTTGCTATTAATAGGCCTATATAACCTATTGAGCATTGTCTTGTAAGAGCATTGTCTTCTCTTGAGGATCTGCTGCTGAGCCTAAAGATCCTCCAGGCAGCTTACAACACAATAGACTACAGATTCCAGGCAGCAACACAAGGCTAAGACACAAAATTGCCAGAGCAGACATCCTTCCCTGTCACATATTTAGATTCATCCTGTCAGAGATATGTCCGCACAGACAGACAATCCCCACTTCCTCAGAGTTAGCTTTTCAACTGTTTACAATCCTGCAACAACACAAACAATAAATATATCATTGGCACATCATACAACATTTTTGAAGGATATCTCTTCAGAACACCCGTTTACTTAATTCAGAGGGGCAAAAAGGCATTTTGTCCATTCTTAAAAATGTATTAATTTAATTATTGGATTTTAAAAATGTAATTCCAGTAATTTATAATCTGTGGTAGCATTGTCATTATGTATATCCCCCAGGGAAGGGGGTATTGTAAATAACTATCTTCCACACAGTGAGATTGGATTTTTACATGGAATTTATTTCAACCCTAAGAAAGTAAATAATTCATCTTGGGAAACAATGGTCCCAAAAAGCATTTTTGTTTATCGCTGCTATAGCACAAGGCAGACTCAGACAGACAGCTAAACACACTTGGCCCGGTCTTATGGGATTGTTCGGGATGAGGCAGAGGTCAGCCATTGTTGCTGTCTGTCTTATTGTAGCCTGTGTTGACTGGTTACTAAAGAGAGGAGTGTCTGTTCACTAAGCTAATTACAGACCAAGGCCACGTCTGCATGCTTAGCTAATGCTCATGGCTGTTTCACATCAGCCGTACCTATTTGGAGCATGTTCAGAGTGCTGCAACACACTCTAAATTAAGTCTGGCAGGTAAAAAAGGGCCCTGCTTATGTGTAATACGGAGGTAGTTTCTTCAGCCAATTATTTCAATAATTTTTAGAGGTAATTCTGTTAGGTGTGTTTGAGTGACATTTTTTCTCTATTGTTTGCTGTGTTTATCAAATTAGATTCAAACTACTTATACAGTAAATCCTGCGTTCTTTATCTAAATGCAATAATATGATCCATTATATTATATATTGTTTTTATAATTATATTTGTATAATTATTTCTATACATGATATTAATTTTGTAAGTATTCCAGCCTTTCAAAAATATAAATAAAATGTTACTTGAAATGTATCTTATATGCATGCCTGTTGTACATTGTATGTTGTGGCAGTTATTTAACATTCCTGGGTAATTGTGTACTGTAGTAGACTTTATTTACCCAACACAAAGCCAACCTGCATTTCTTTAAGGAACATTTGTTCCACCCTGTGAGTCAGCCCTATAAAAATACTACCAACTGTTTATCCATTGCTGCTCCTGACCTGAAATGCTGAATGCTATGCCTGTGTTGGCTTGTTAGGTTTTGCTCTGCCTCAACCATGAGCTAATACAATTAGCAAAATACACAGTAAATCTTACTGAAACAGAGCTGAAGCTGTGTGACGATGCAATTAGGGATATCATTATGTTTTGATGACTCTGAAATAGTTGAGTAAAATAAAAATGGCTATAAACTGCAGATAATAAAAAAGTATGATATAATTTAAGAACCTAAAAAGGTTTTCTATCATATACAGTATGTTTCTTTTTTTATTTCAAAAAAGGGAAAAACAAAAGCTCTTGATTAATTAACTTCTCAACACGACTAATTCATTAATCAGACACATACTGTGGTTAAAATTAAGCATTTACAGTACATGACACTGCTTGATTGATATTTTTCAAATGTCTCATCTTGCCAAAAACTTTATTGGCCTATGACAGATTAGCATCACGTCTTTCAGCCAGCAGTTGGCTCAGTCTTCTGTGAATAGCCATTGAAAATGTTTGCATATAAACTCATAAACATGGCATCATCCCAGATGGGAGTCATCCAACCACAGCTCTATACAGGCCTTTTATTATGCCTAAAATGGAGCCAAATCCTGTTAAATGTATGCTTATCCTTCGTTAAAAGGATCTTTATAGGAGCTTTATACAGTCTGACCACAATGGATTGCTGGTCACTGGTGGTAAACAGTGTGTAAATGTATAGAAAGTACTGGGATTAATTATTGAAGATTGGTGTTTTGATTAAACAGCTTTCTTTTTAAAGTAAGTCAAATGTGTTAAACAATTAAAAGTTGTAGCTCTTAATGAGCCATGGCACATATAGGGTACAATTAAATGTATTATTTTTCAATAATAGTTTTCAACAGTTCCTTGATATGTGCTGCTACTGTAACATTACAAAAGCACTGACCGTCCGAAAGAGCTTGAAAAAGTCAACATTTGCGTATAATTTGTCCTCAATGATCTGTAGCCGTTGAGGAGTAAGGATGCACATGGCGTTGCGAACAGCGTGGAGTCCTCTTTTGCTGGGGAAGACGAGGAATCTCTCCAGCAGGTTCAGACTGCATGCAATATCCTTTAAATGCAAGGCTGGAACCCCAGAGGCAAACTGAAGAAATCCAAAGATAGGTTAGGTTGGTTTCAAATTTGAACATTCACATTCTGATATTATTAATGTCTATTATTGAACTTCACAGGTCAATATGTTGTCTTCCTTACCTTAATCAAAATAGCTTTCAAATCAAAGCTTTAAACATTGAATTCTAATGTAAAGCACCCCCTGAAACGGGGAATACTAAGCTACGAATGTAGTATATGTGTTGATTTATATATAATGTCATAATGCATATTGTCTATGTACTATATATTGACTTACTTTCAAATTAACAAGATATGTCAAGTGTAAACTCCAAACAGGCCATTTGTGTATCTATGGATGTGAATGTATACTCTGTGATATGTTCAGCTGTTCAGCTTCTTCTCTCTTGTGAAATGCATGTCGGTAAAGGAGCCCCCAATAATTAAAATAGGGGATTGATTAATGGATGAAATGTAACAACTAAGTTGCCGTAATTGTAAAGCCTGCATCACTACAGAAGTAAACACATATTATACGATCTTCAAACGCTTTTTTAAAGTTAGTGATTCATTTGTATTGTACATTCCCGTCAAGCAAGCAATGAATCAGTGAACGAAACCAAAGTAGGAGGAATCCAGCTGGCCTCATGTGTCTGGACAAAGTGGCATATATGGATATATGTGTGTGTTTTCCTGTTTGTAGGTTGCCAAAGGGAGCTTTCTTTCAGCTGTTGTTCAGCCAGAACTACCGATACCAATGAATCACATTGTGAATGTTCCCAGACACACTAAAGCAAGTCTTTACTTGTAGAATATCTCCTCAAAAAAAAACTTGTTAACATCATCTTACATCATGTAATATGTTGCGCAAGGCTTTCATATGATAAGAGTCTTTACGTTAATGGTTGTGTTTCTGGCATTACAGGAATATTTCAAAAGTAATGATGAATTAAGGTTGAAATGCTAAACATTATATCCTTAACTATCATGTATGTGCATGTGTGCCTGTGTACCTGTTCAGGCCTGATTTGGGCATTTACTAGTTGATACACCACAGCCTGTGTCAGAGGAATGTCTCTCAGCAGGAATGATGTCAGCAGCTCATCGTCCTTTAGGATAGCCTCCACCTTTATTCCTCGGCCTACAAAGAGAGATCATGTGAAAGAAAATTATCCAATTAGAACAACAGGAGACCACCTCTCAGCAAAAAGAGAATAAACCCAAGCTATTGTCATCTGTGCTCCATTAACCCAGTGGATACCAGATAAGTAAAAGAAAACTTATTTGGCAAGTTGTGACAACTGTTTCATTAAAACAATAGGAACACAGGATGTAGACACTTCAACTCTGCACTGTGTCATTATTTTTAGTGGCTTGTCTGTGCATGAATAAAGTGTGCTCTGCCAAATGAATTGACACTGTGGCCTGCATCCAGATTCCGCCCTAAAGTGACTCACCTTGTGTCCTCATGCACCCACAAAGAAAACTGAAAACAAGAAGGGGAGAAGAACTGGACGAAGGTATTCATTCGAAAAATCTAAATATACACTTTCATTCTATAGATTTTACAAATGACATAAAACGTTAATTGCTGAATTTCACAAGTGGCGGTAGGCTAGCTATATCCCCTTGCTTTGGTCTTTGTGCTAAGCCAGCTGCTGGTTAAAGCTTTATGTAAACTGGACTAATAGGAGTGGACATAGATCTTGCCATCTCATTCTCCTCCATTAAGCAAATAAATGTATTCCCAAAGTCCAACTATTTCTTATGTGTCTAATTATTAGTATCAAACACCTTTGCAAGGGTCTTGCACATGAAACATACGTGTCCACTCAAACGTTGTATGCTATATATGAGTCTTTTTTTTAACAATTACATAACTTGGTTCTCAAAATGATTCAATTTTCTTTTCTAGGTCTCATGGGAAATTGTGTGGAATGTGGATCCATATCTGTGTTAGCTCTGTTAGTCCATATACATGTTTCTCCCTGAGAGTGGCAGCACAAAAAGAACCAGGATGTAATCATTCACAGGCTGGAATGCACTTAGCTTCAGTCAGCTCCCCTCAGAAAGGTTTTCTGTAGATTGAGCTGGGAAACCTACTGTTTGTATGTAGACAGTATAGCTGTACATGCATATGTTGACATGAAGAGAGAATTGTTTGCATTTTGTCCCTTGAGATGGGATCAGTGTTTCTATGTTCTCTCATGGAGAGAGGAACATGGATGAAAGTTGTGTGAAATGCTTTCCCACCAAATAAACAACACACTGGTGAAAGTAAGCAGCTTATGTGAAGCGCCTTCCATAAACCCTCGGGAAGTAAGCCTTTTAGCCTGCACAGGTACACAGAGGGATGGGAAATGTGTGAGATATGATTTAGACCAAGGTATTTTTGAGTCAGAGAACATTGAGCTAAGAAGGACACTACGAATAGATTGCAATGCTAAATGTAGTCAGGCTGTATGTCAAGATTTATATAACTTCTAACTGAAAACTCTAACCGGTAAATCCAGAAAGAACCAGAATGCCCGAACTGACATTTGAACTGCTCCGACAGACATTTTCAGAGTATTTTTGATCTCCGGATGAAGCACTGACCTGAAATGTGTTCTGGATGTGTGCGCAGGGTGTCCATGAAGTTACTCATAGCATTCAGTTCCCCCCAGAGGCGGCCTAGCTGCAGGAACTCTGGGTCGCTAAAAAGAAGCTCCTGGGCATCCGTGTAGAACCGAGCAAATCTAAGGAAGTCAATGTTAAATCACACACAGTTATTATTTTTGACATACAATACAACTTCAAACATACACGCAATGAGTGTGTGTATGTTTGTCATAACCAAGAGATATTTAGATTTTTTTTTTAGTCCAATACATTCTGTTCTTTTATCTTAGATCAAACGTGGATAGAATTTGATTCCCCTTAATGACCTCCCCCTAAATCTCAGGGTGATACCAACATGGAGTTGTTGTAGTTGGAGACCACTCCAGGAGATTCACCACGGGTAGGGTCTTGAAAACAAGGGTTGTTGGCATTACAGAAGATTCCTTGAATCCATGGCAGGACCCCTGAAGACGGCATGGCCTTGTTGGGGAAGTGGCCTGAGGAAGAGGAGATACTGTTGGCTTCAGTTCTTTACACAAGTCACCAATGAGGTATGTTTAAGGATGTCACACGACATTATATATTTGTCTCTGAGAAATGTGGATTTAAATGTTTGATATTTTTCAGTAAACAGTTGTTTGCTTACATTCATGTTGACGATAAAGCGGATTCACTCGTCTAAGCCACACCAGTCCCATGCACAGCATAACAGGCCACATGATCTCCATGAAGAAACGCATCTGGTATGAATTATAATATAAACTTTGTAAATCTGCAAGAATTCTAAACTAGTGCAGTTTCATAGTGTGCGTGTCTGGGCGACAACTTGGCCCATTTTTCTGTAACATAAACATATTGCAGTAGCTAGGAGAATAAATAATGATTTAAAAAAAACGTTCAGTCAAATATTTGCTAAAATCTACAGACCTGAAGGAATTTTAGCTAACTACAACTCTCATAGGGATAAATGCAGGGTGTAAAGGGTGGATGGGGGGATTTTACCCTCTGCCTCCTGCGGATAGTCCAGTTCTTCCACAGCAGGAGTCTGACCTGTCTTCCTGCCCCCATGGTTTCTCCTTTTCAGCGCTGCAGGGGCTGGCACCAGCCCATAAACCTGCAATCAACCAGTCCACAGTGCTCTGTTTAGCTAAGCCATTTCATGTTTTACTTAAAAACATTTCTGATTTAACAAATTAATTAGCATTTAGAAAAGCTAGATATTATTTGTTTCCATCACAGAGGTGTCTATCCTGAGTAACCCATACATGGCTGGAAACAGCTCTGTCATGAGGTTAATGAGCTCAATACGCTTCACATGGTCAGCATTACAGAGTAGCGCACGTTCTACAGCTCGTAACTCCTTCAGCACTGTCAATACCTCAAAACAGTGAATTGCATATTCAAAGTGCATGTCATAAAAGTAACTTTAATTTATGTGAGTCATTGCTATTGTGCAATTGTATTGCTACCAGATCACAAATTACAGATATATCAGCTAAATGCCAAAGCATGGTTATAGTCCAGAAGGACAAATCACTTACCTCAGGAGAACACTCGTACTGTAGAGTGAGACCCAATACATGAAGCATAACAGCACATTTTCTACCGAGCGCTCCTTAGGTTTGCTAGCACAGCTAGAATCCAGACCTTGTGAATACTTAAGCAGATTGATTTAATCTCCTTTCTGAAGGCTGGGAGACTGCTAACGCTCTCACCGATTTGTAGAGGCATTATATGACCTAACCGCCTGCCCACATTATACAGTGTAATCCTATTTATGTTATAATCCTACTTCTGTTTAAAACAAATGTATAAATGCACTTTAAAAAAAAGATATAAGCAACTCTAAACCTTGCTCTAAAGTTTCTAAACACACGTCATGCTACTTTTAGTAATAAAGATTTGTACTGTATAATATAAAAAGAAAACGTCTCATAACGGAACAGGTATAGGAATATTAAATAAACAAAGATGCAGCAAGTTGTTAAGAAAAACATAAACAGACCACCATGTCAATTGGAAGTTGTCAAATATATTTTAATAAGTTACAAAAGGGTTTGTTTTCATGTACCTGTTCTTTTACACTGAACTTTTGAACATTCTGTCAACCTTGTACATTACCATGCAAAACAGATACCATTTAAATAAATGATGCACTTCCTATTACTTACAAAAAACTTGTAAGATCTGGGTTATTGATAAAACTAATGCAGTTGTAAAAAGAGTAACAGCTTTGGCTATTAGGAAAAGTCATGTTATATCAAAAATAAGAAAGACAATATAATCCATTGGCATTTCCAAAAGCTTTTCAGGTCAGTGTAAGTTGACACCTTACAAGTTCAACAGTATAAAAACAAGTGGATGTATGCCCTTGCAACTGGTGCTTCATAACATTAGCAAATGACAATGCAGATAACCAGTACAGCATGTAACAAAAGCTCATTATATACATACATTTTTAGCAAAATGATTAATTTTAACCTAAATGTAACAGTTTAAAACACAACGAGTATTGATAAGTGCATCAAACTTTTTTTTCAGTGTTCTGGCTACATGCACTATTGTAACGATTCAAACATATTTTTTTGGTATATAACATACATAGTGATCCTGTAAGAATGTGGTACAAAATATTCAAATAAAAATGGAATTGCACAGTTTAAAAAAATAATTATAAATATTCTGACCAGGTGCCAGAGTGTACTGAGCAAGTGATTGGTAAATGAAATATTGGTGAATCAAATATACAGCATTTTAAGTGCATCTCGTTTGTCTTTTAAGGACCAACAGAACTTTGAATTGTTCAAACCGTGCTCCCAATCATGTGGAAATTGTCATTTGAGCACTTTTGTTTAGATCTCTGCCAGCCCCTGACTCTAAGATGATCACACGAAATGAGCCTCTCGATGTTCTACCTCTTGGAGGCGTCTTGACCTTAGTCTCTGGTATACTGGTTTGGCCTGGTTTGAGCCCAGTTCCTCAGGGCTAGAGCTGGGAGACATGGCTGCCTGCTCTGCCTCATCGTCTTCCTCAAGAGGCTCATCCACAGAAACCTCTATCTCAATCCCCAACTCCTCCTCCTCCTCCTCCTCCTCATCATCCTCCTCCTCCTCCTCCTCCTCCTCGTCCTCATCTTCGTCCTCTGCGCTATTAGCTAGTGTACAGTTCTTCAGCTCTTTAGATTTGCTCCCTGATGGGGGCTTGTAGAAAGTCCCTGGGGGAGGCTGCAAAGTTCTTGGAGCCCTGAAAGTTGTTGCGACAGGGTTAAACTTCATTACATTGTCCTCCCTTCTTAAAATCCCATTGGGTCGCACTGCAACAGTGAAAGGTCTATCAGGGAAAACAGTGCTGATAGTGCTCCCAAGGGATAAAGATGAGTTGGGCACAGAAGCTGATAAGTTGCTGGCATCCAGTGCTGTACCCTCTGTGGGCAAACTGGCCACAATTCTGACAGTTTTGGAGGCGACATCATGTTTGTACTGCTTGTCCCATGTCCTGCGTAACGTCTGGGTGTCAATAAATGTACTCCGGTAGTGTGTGCCAACCCGCGATTTTGTGTTCTCGGTTTCGTCAACCTCTTCGATGGACTGGTCAAAACGTCCTCCTTTCCTGTCCTCGTGGTCAGTGCTGTTCCGGGTGTTTTTCTCATCTACTTGGCCTCGGTTGAGTATCCGTTCAGCTGGCAGGCTCACTGGCCGCAAGGAGAGTTTGTTGCGAGGCTGTCGGAGCTGGACCCTGGCCACGGCGACGTGCTGAGAACGACAGAGGCCTCTCTCGCCGAGTTTCGGGGTCTCTGGGGAGCTCGGAGACAAACCCTCACTGAAGCCCTCAAAATCCACTTCATCAACTTTAAACAGAGAGAATGACAAGAAGTTAAACATTGATCAACTAATATGTAGTGGACTGAAGGAAAGGCAGCCACAGCCCAGAGAAAGATTTTAACTCTGCAGTAATATGGGCAGAACAGTAATGCTTTCTATTGGTTTGTAACAACACTTACCAGGTTCAAAGTCGCTTCCATTGAAGCTTGGCGTGTTCTCCTCAACCTCAGCCAGTAGGTGGGAAGAAGGAATGATGGAAGAATGCCTCTTATACACCTTCAAGCTCTGCTATAATAGCGAAATAGACAAGAATGAGTTTAGAAAACAAAAGAGTTAGCTGTGTGTGATATTGATGTTAAATCTTAATACATGCTGTACGACTGTTTCCTAATTACCTCCTTAATGTCTCCCAGCGACTTTGAGTGCCTGCTCAGCTGCTGCTCCTTCTCCTGGTGCGTGAGGCGGTTTGGGCCATCAATCTCTATAGGCGAGGTCCGACTCAGTGGACTGAGGGGGGTGTCAAAGATCATCTGGTAGTGTCTGATCAGGAGCTCCACAATGAGCGCCTGATATGGATAATCCACCAGAGAGGAAAGGGAAACTTCGGCATCGGCCTGCCTTGGTTTGATGAGTGTTGGGCCAAAGATGATGCCCAGGTTACTTGCTGTCATCTTATTCTCATCCGACTGCTCTGTGACTCTGGAGAGAGGAAAGAGTATTGCTTAGAGTCACATACTTGTAAAATCACCAATTTAATAATGCAGAAATGTATATTATTGGTTATTTGACCGCCATACCGGTGCAGATGTTCTATGAGGAACTGCAGTGTCTTGTAATGAGCTGGTGGCAGATGCCTCAGCAGGTCTTTGATCTTGAAGAGGATCCGGTTCAGGTCCACGCTGACCTGGGGCTGGGTCACCGGGGTTGGACTGAGCCGAAAAGCCTCCAGTTCCTCCACAATAATACCCTGGCTCTCCTTGGCCAAACCGATAAAGTCATTATAATAGCGGAACAGGATGAGAGGCTCTGGGAGCTGCATAGGGAAGGGAAAAAAGAACCATAAAAACAAATGAAAGCAGGAAGTTAATAATAAACATAGGCAACTGAAAAATGGAGGTAAATAGAAAAGCGGGACAGAATTAGAAATGAGATAAGCACCACAGGGAAGAGAGGTGGGAGTTGTACCAAAAATAAACTAAGATAAATAAATAGCACAGCAGTGGTTTTGTTATGCAGAGCACTCTTTTAGCAATATAATGAACAATACCCATTTACTAGTAAGTCAAGAAAAAGTGTTTTAAAAGCAGCCAACCTGTCTCAGGTAGAGTTTGAGTACGTTGCTAATGTCGTGGGGATAAAGTTCCGAGAGCTCCACTAGGTCCTTGCCATTCTCAAATGCCTGGCAAAGCTTCTCTACCCGGGATTTGGCACCATTCACTCTGTAGATACCCTTCACAGCACAAAACCAAAATACATTTAACACAGGAAAATTAGATGCATGATCAACATGGCAAAACAGGGTAATCACTGCCGCAGAATATCAACAGGATACACCAGTAATCTAAACATCATGCAGTAAATACATGCAAACTTTAGGTCAACAAAGGTCATAGAATTTACAAAATGACTTGCAATGAGGTTAAATTATATTTACGACGGATTTTCTCTTAAATCTGAATATTTTGAGTGGAAATATAAAAGCATTAAAGCCTAAAACAGGATTTAAATGTGAGCAATAGTAGCATAAACTCTTCTCTCTTATATTTGACTGAAAGTACCTTAATGTTGAGTGCTCTGTTCTCGATTTCGGATGTACACTTCCGTAAGATAAAGGGGACTCCATCTTGACTGTTCATGGCTGCCTGTGTGAAGTCGATGCCAAAGAGGTGGAGCTTCCCCTGGAGCTTCTTATGGCCACACTGGATAGCCAGGGTTTCCAAGCATTTCTTATGGCAGGCTAGCGAACACTGAAACAATGTTGAGAAATATGTCAGTTTTTTTTTACACACAAACAAATTTAAAGACAGGGATCAACATTGGATAGTTTTGGCTACTTCTTTAAAAAGATTAAAAGGAATGCTTCATGTTTTGTAACCCTTGGAACCAATGCCATGAAAAGATGCCAATAAGATGCCGAGGTAAATCCAAAATTATTGTCAATGTGTTTACTGCCATCATTACATAACCTTAAAAAAAACTTACAACGTTGTGTTATTGTTTTTGTATGACTATCGGATCTAATAAATA